AATGGACAATATCGGTCCACTCCATCAAGTACCTCCCCCACAAAATATTGAAATTTTGAGTACCCATGAAGCTCATAAATCGCCAAATTAACATCCGATTCCATTTAGACTTGGCACATCTGTCGAAATATTTATATCATATTTTGGGTCCGATAGGAAATGGGTAATATTGGCCCATTCCTTCGGGATCTGCTCCATAAAGGGTCAAACGTTTGAATAACCTTAACACTAGTCAAAATATATTTATATAATCGAACATAGGCTGAGGGTATATCTCTGGCGGCAATACCGACTGATACTTTTTAACTTGTTTTTAGAACATTAGAGTTGAATTTGAGTTTAAATCCAAGTTCATTTTTTTTAAATTTTTGGTTTTCCCGATTGGAGGTTGAACTAGCTATCTTATTAGCCACTGTTATGAATATTAATTCCCAAGAAAAATTGTCATTACTAAATAATGAACAACTTTGGACATATGTAACTACCCACAAATCAACCTTCAAAGTTATTATTATAAGAAGAGTTTGACGCTAGAAATTGTTTTATATTTTATTTTTAGAACTTAAAAGTTTTTTCCTTGCGTTTTAATGGGTTATTTCAGCTAATATAGTTACCGAGCTTTTCGTGGGTTAATTCAAACTTATGTATAAATGTGTATGTACTACATTAACTAACAAAAGTATTAAAGTTTCATATAAAACATTAATTACATTAATATTTTAAATATTGTATTTCGTACTACTATTATTATTATTGTTATGTTGTTAATACCATCTCCTACAGTCAATTTTTCGTAACACGTGCCCAACATGAAACACATTTATGTACACACATACGTATTTATATTCGCAACAAGTCAAATCAAGCTTTCAGTCATCGTCTCAAATTCCCACCCATAAAGTTCAGGGCCGAATGATAGCAGGTGTCAAGTACAGATGCTTCATTAGATTTCAAAATAAGGTGTAACTTGAAGCAAATGTTTTTGTCTAGTTTGGAGAAGCTCGGTCTTACCAAATACCGTTTGCATCTAAATACAGTCATATGTATGTACGCAACCAACATTGGCAGTAACAACATTGTAATTGTCGTTCATTTGTAAATTTGTATATGAATTTTGGATTTTTTGTACGAAATATGTACCAAATGGCGGTTTTTTAGTTTTGAATGGAATCGGTTATTACAATTTGTATGCCCTCCACCACTATGGTAGGGTATATTATGTTCGTCATTCCGTTTATAACTCCACAAAGTCTTGATCAGCATATAATTCTATGTCGATTTAGCCATGTCCGCCCGTCTTTCCATCCGAACAGAAGCCTGTGGAAATAATTTGAGTTCTTGAACGAAATGAAGTTGGTTCAAAATATTCTATTCAGTTTTTTTAGGTACGTAGAATGATATTGATATTGAAAATTGGCCAAAACGTGTACCTAGTTTTTATATAGCCCACATATTTCAGGTGTTTCGGATGTTTTTTTTTTTGTCATAGTTTTCGACCGAATTTGAAATTGACAGTTTGTGTTCCGTATATGTAAGAAACATTCTTGCAAATAGGCCCCATACATCTGAATATTCGGTATATGAATGATTTGTATCATATTTTTCAAATAAATTGTTTTAAATCACCATTTGGAGTTCGTAATGGGTACCACCTCTCATGACAGGTCTAGGTCTTCGTATAGCCCCATATAATGATTCTTGGTTATATTCGTAATTTTACGGTAAATAGATTGGTGTCATTTTTTTAATCCCAATACTTTTACACTTCAATACTACACTCCTAATATTTTTATATTGTTCTTTTTCGTTGAAAATGTACTCACTATAAAAAGAAATAGAATTTTGGAATTTTTTTAATGGCTATTTTGTTATCCGATAAAGTAAAGCTTGAGACATAAAAGTGTGAATTATTTTCTATAAAGTAAACGGATTTATAGTGTCTATTTTTAATTAGGGGGTTTTCAAATGCAGTATCTAAAAAGATCTCGCGTTGTTTTGGTACTTCCACATACAGGCAGATTCACTATTTCAGCTGCGACCACCCGCGACCTCAGTGCATAAATCTCCGATTTTATGTATTTTCATGATTTTAGCTACAATAAATAATCAACCCATTTGACTTTAAACTAATATATACCGTTTTTACGAGTGGGATAAATTATACTTGTGTGTTCATGGTTTGCTAGTCCAACGGATTGGTATCCGGAGATTTTGGTGGCCATTGTGAGCTGGAAATGCCGCGAGGAACCTCATTTTGTAACCATACTTGAGTGGCGCGTGCTGAGTGCGATGGTCCTGTTGGAATGTCCAAGTTCTGCGGTCAAAATGTTTGCGTACCCAAGGCTTTAATACACCCTCCAGAATATTTCCGCGATAATATTCGGCATTTATTCTGATGCTCCGGTCGATTAATACGATTAACGCCATGGCCGGCGCTTGAGTTCTGGTGGCCAACCGAAGGTGCACATTTTCAACTGACTTCTTTGGCAAGTAAACACGATCATCTTGTTTGTTTGAAAACTGCTGGTCAACGAATGTTTTCTCATCGGAGAAAACCAAATTCGGCAGTTCACCACTTTCGCCCAAGCGAAGCAACTCTTTAGCTCTTTCAAGTCTATTTCCTTTCTGTTGAGGAATTTCAATGGCTTTACCCCGAGCTCATTTTTTTAATATTTACCATTTTTCGCTTCTTTACTTTTCGAACCATTTCTGCTGATGTTGCTGTTTTCTTCCGTCCTCTTCCTTGATGTCGGGCTACGCTGCCAGTATCTCGGTAACGATAGCCACTTGTGGTTTTCTAGCCAAACATAAATCACACTGTCACGCTTAAATTCCATCACGAATAACTTTTTTTCTGGAAAATTATCACCAAAATGCTTTTGTACGCTTGTGAATAATATAATAATAATTTGAACAGCTGTCGGACGAGTGGCTTAGAAATGACAGCAGTCTAAAATTGATTGCAGGTTTTTCATCTCATCCTGTATTCCATTCTTTTATTGGCGCAATCGTGAAGACGTTGTCCACTGTCTGGCCAGTCAAAACTTCCGGTTTGAGACCCAATAATGCATAAAAAATAAAATCATGCTTTCAAAAAAAGTTATCCATACACTTTTATCTTTCATTATCTTTTAGTACAGAAACACATTTCGTACACATTTTTTCTTTATAATGGGTAAACTTTGGCACAATCAAAAAGGTAGTTTAACTTCGACAAATAAAGGAAAAATTCAACTTGTGTCAAATATTAATTTAAAGCGTACAATAATTGGTTTTGGTAATATAACAACAATTTTTTCCACAATTTTTTTTAAATTGAAAGAAATGATTCTCAACAAAATTAAATCCAAGATAGAAGGTAAATGTTATTTTATCCTTTATGAGGATATATTTGACGTATTGAATTGGCATATTAAATCCACAAAAACCATCAAAACTTTGGATAAGATATTGGTATTTTCGGCAAAATTGAAAATAGCGTTTATGTCCAAAATTGCGAAATCAATTCCCGATTCACGTCGAAATTATGGATTTTTCTTTGACTGATTTTGTAATAATTTTAAAATGTTTTCTTTACATTGAAAACAATACACACATTCAGATACAGACTGCTTATATTTTTGACAGGATAAGGAGGCCAAAAGGAAGAAATGGATTTAAGAAATAGCTTTATTCTACCTCCTGTTATTGTAAAATTGTCAAATGCAAGACCATAGTATTAAGTTCCCATTCTTACCCTTGAATACGAATTTCTGTACATATTTTTAATTATACCTTTTGGTACTTTTTAAACACTTACATATAACTTTCAAGCAAAAAAATATCAACTTTGACGCTTTACTGATTGGGTATTCTATTAGCTTGGATTATTTGCATGTTGGCTTCTTCCATAAAAATAAACATCTCCTAACACCTTAATGAATTTAAGAAAAAATGTCTTACCCTCCACTATTCTCAATATTTTTCTATTAACTATTGTGGGTGGCCATGTGTTTTAAAAAATTAGCTAATTTACTAATGTGTTGTCAGTAGAAGAAAGACAATATTCTACAGTCACAGCATCCGAGTTCGGTGCGGTGCTGTGGCAATAAAAAAAATTGCCATATTTGGATTAACTCCATACAACTGCAATTATTTAGAATGAGATTTGTTCGGGGGCGGACTTTGTATTGAAGCTGTGGAAACGACAGCAACAGCAAAATGCTCTTTCTGTTTTCATATGCATATTGTCACCCTTATAGTGTTGGCGTCCCCAGACGTCGATGATGCCCTCCCATATGTGCTGAATAGAAATATGATTCGACATTGGCTAGGAAATTCAAATTCAATTCTTGATAAATGCGTAGAATTGAAGTTGTTTTTAGTTATGAGAAGGCGTTTTAAGGTGGCTCTCCGGAATGATTGAACAAAAATTGTCTTTAATTGAATGGAACACATACATAGCTGCAGAGACGGGTACTTGACTATATCACACGGGATATGGGAGTTCTTCGTTCGCCATCAATAATTGTGGTAATCACTGTGGTGACTGATTGGCTGGCAGCTGCCTGATGTTGTTTTTAGTGTGACTTGTGTTGCATGCCTTTTATGTGCCCAAATCATTCTCTCTCTGTGTATGTATGTAAGTGCGTGTGTTGGTGTGTGTTATAACTTTGATCACTTGCTAACAACATTGAACATTGTTTGCTAACGGTGGCTTAAAGTTCATTTAAGCCAAACTCATCACAACATGGGTTGGTTAATATGGATGTAGTCATTGTGCATCTGTGTGTACGGTGGATGTGTATGGAAATTTCAGCGGATGTGTGATGGTTTTGACGATTTGATTATTTCTCGCATGATTTCATGTTGGCAGTCATTTGACATTCGGATTCCATAGCAGACGCATCTCTTCCAGCAGAGCTGTCGTTTTGCTCATTTGCGATTTTAGTTTTTTAATTTTTTTTTTCGAAAATGTTTTCATTTCTCATATTCAAATGCAATTGTTTTTCCGCTTGCAGGGAAATTCAAGCATCTAGCGGAGACTGGCTAAAAGGTTCATGTGGTGCTGTCGATCATTTGGCCACTAGTGACGTTTTACGCAAAAGTATACGACGTTCTTGGACCATATCAAGTAAGTCGTTTACTATTCCGGAAGTAACATCAGAATGCAATGTCCATTGTGTGTGTCATTACAGATCCCGAGGACGATCCCAATAATCCAAACGCTCAAAATCCAGTAGCCGATAACCTCTATCCCCAACAACAGAATCTCATTGAGGCCCAATCGGCCGGCAGCTATCCCACTTTAGATGTACGCCATCATCAGCACCACAATCTTCCCCAGTCAATACGCAGTCACCCCATTGTGAATTACAATACGGGCAGTGCCATTACCATAGCTGGTGTCGGTGTTAGCCACAGCAATATCGCTCCAGGCTATCACGTGAACCCTCAACGTCGTGTCTTACGTCAGTCGACTCTGCCCACAACTTTGCCCAATAACGAACAGAATCTATCTGGCAGTGGAAGCAATCTGGAAAACTATAACAGTGTCAACCTGACTGCCCCGACATCACCACATCAGATGCAAAAGGGTCCCCTTTATCCCAGCGCCTACAATAGTGACGACATTATTAACATTGAGACAAGCGATTGTGATAACTACGCACAACAACTGCAACAACAGCAGCAGCAACAAGCAATTTCATCGGGCCAAGTAACCCCTACGCATCACCGTTTACAGGTAAGCTCTATCGAAATCATACAAACGAACACGATAACAATTCGTTCCTCCTCGCTACTAGGTGCGCCGACAATCAACCCTACCCGCAAATCCATGTCAACCACCAATGTACATGTCAACCTCACCGAATCGCGGTTACAGCCGCTCACCAGAACGCTCTCCGGGCGAACAACGCTATCCGCCGTTTATACGTCAAACCTCATTTCCCTGTAACATCATGGAACCACCTGCCCCAGCAGCAGCGGTCACCACTGCAACCTCATCCTACCCCTCACCCATGCATCGGGGCAAAATATTGCCCTCCACCGGAAACTTCAATCAGTATGATCAACCACAGCCGGCACAACCGAACCAACCACTGGCCGAAGATTTGGAATACAGTGGCCCCAGTATGCCGAAACCACGCATGATGCGCCAAGCCACTCTGCCCAATCCCGAGCAACATGTCAAACTGCTGCCCACATCACCGCCAAAACGTCAGACTTCTCCACAGTACCGACGTTCACCGGAATTCATGCGCCAACAAACTCTGCCCAACCCGGAATCGTTTACCAGCAGCAACTCCTTAACAGTTCAGGCTGCCAATTCCGGATCACAGAACAAATTCTTACCCATTTCGCCGAGACAGAAACAGAACTTCCTTTTCCCGAATGTTCAGAATCCTCGTCAGTTTTTATCCCAACAAAATGTGCCAGCCGTTGGTGTGGCCGAGATACCGGTTAGCACGACGGCGGAACACTATTCCAGTAGTCAGAGTGTAAATATCCACCACTCCCGCGACCACTCGAAAATGATAAAGGTGCGCAGTCACAGCAATGAAGAGTACTCCATCACCAAGTCACATCATCCCGAGTCGCGTCGTCTGTTGCCCGAAATACCCACCGCCAGTTCGCGCTCCATGAGTCGCTCACCCAGTCGTTTGGTCAGACAAGATTGTCTGAAGGATCAACCCGGGTCGGGAGTTGGCCATATGCCCGGCGACGGACACACACGCACATTCGGCGAAGCCAAACAACAATTCCATCAATTCCAAAATGTCACCGAGGAAGACGACAATCGCCCCGAGTATGTGGACTATTTTGGTGACAGCACTAGTAGCTTCCTTGAAGTGGACGAGGTGCAGTATGAGAAGAACTACAACAGTGGGTTTAGTAGTGAACCTCGTATCATTTACAATGATGGTTCGGACGATGGCAGCTATCAGGGTTACCAGAGGCCAATTGTGCACAGCGCCGAAAATGTTTTGGTTCCCGATCAAGGTTACAGTGGCTATACAAATATGGCCCTCGGACAGCATGCTTTCGGTGCCAATTTAGGTGGAAATGGAGTTCTGGGAGTAGGAATAGGAGGACCAGCAGGAGGTTCATCTGGGGGTGGTGCATTGCCGCGGACTCCACTCATGCACAATCGATTGCGTCGACGTCAGTCGAGAGATTTGCAAGCCCAACAGGAGGAATTCGCTCAAGTGGCTTCGTTAAATGTACTACCCTCTCAAAGTCCGGGTATGTCACCACCTAATGAGCCGGCTACAGGTGCAACGGAAGCAGCCGCAGCAGTGGAAACTAAATCTAGTGAAAGACCAAAACCGGAGCAAATGCGTTCAATATCCGAAGATTCGGGAGCAAATAAATCAAATGTGCCCAAACCAGTTACACGCCGCTCTCTGTCACATCCCGAAAAGGAGACCCAGGTAAGGGGAGAGGAGTTTAAATAAATTTTGTGCGAAACTAAGTTTAATAAATAATTTATTTTATTTATTTTCGTTTAATAGGCAACTAAAAAGGTGGAACCTACCAAAATACCGAGTCCAAAACCATTAGCCGATATTCTCGACAAATCAAGACCCATGACAAAAATACCAACACCGCGTAGACGCAACAGTAAAGGAGTCGACGTCGATGAAGGTAAGTTGAAACCGTGAAAAAATATCTAAGAAATTGTGGTAGACGTCGAGGGTCTAAAGCGAGACTGGAGGTTACAATTGCTCTTAGATTTCGTGTACAATATTGGCTCGATAAGGAACATTTATGACAGTGGCAAATGAAACTAGTACCGCGACAATTAAACTAGTACCACAAAATATCAAGCATTTCCTTAAATAATTCATTTCTTAAACAACATTTTTTTTCTCAAAAAATTGTCTTCTTTCAGCCGGCATTTCAAAATCCCACATAAACGAAAGAAAACATTCCGAATCAACTACGAAACCGAATAGAAATCAAAACGACGACAAGCAACAAATGAAAGATTACAATCTCGATGCTGGTGGCAACAAACAAGAACCCCATAAAGAGTCCAACAAGGACGATGCACAGCAACAAGAACAACAAAGAAGCAAATCTCCCCGAGGAGAAACACAGGAAGCAAACAATGACAAAACAGAAGGCCAAGCTCAACTGACAAAGGTAAGAACACCCAAATCATGAAAACCGTAAAAGGACGAGAGATTGCAGAAACTCTATAATTGTCGCCTTGTTGCATCTCATTATGCTGTCCTTAGACATTTATTGGACTACATTTACATAATGGCATTGTCGTTTTGTATTTCGGTAAATGTCAAGATTTAGGGTCACATTTTGCATAATGATAGGAACTTGGTTAAAAAGTTGGTGACTTTGAGAATAAGAAAAAACTTTATTTTTTCCCCAACCTAGGCTGAGTAAATTAAATTGCAAATGTTCTCCTGTTGAGTGGCTTGGTGTAGTTCACAAGTAAAATGTCTGCAAAAGCCTTAAGATATGCAACACTTATGCAAAATGGTACGATAATCAAGTATTTCAAAAGATGGGTAGAAAATTGGACAAAGACTATGATTTCTTCCGGATTACGCTTTAGCTCACAATACGTTTAGATTAACGAAATCCACTCGACCTCGATCTCTCATTTCCATAGCGTATACCTGTCAAACAATATTCACTTCATTTATGAATAAGATTTACGTGACATGAATCCTTCTATTTTGATTTAAGCCTCCATCGATTAAAGAAACAAAATCTGTTCCTGCAGATAAAAATATACCGTTTTTATACCCTCCACCAGGCAGGTCAAGCTCGAAGATGAGCTTTTCATTCCGTTAAACAATGTCGCTAAGTCATGAAAATACCGAATATCGGGAGGTACCGTTAAATAGAGTCTATACGAAGACGTAAACGTGCATACAAATTGTTTTTCCATAGATTGTAGTAACCAGTAAGATCTCGCAATAGGAAACTTGAAACGATTCCGGTGAATAATATTGCTGAAATCATAAAAATACTACATATAGGGAGGTACCGTTATATGGGGGGACGTAGACCTGCATACACAAATATTTGCCATAGGCTGTAATACCCATTACGAACTTCAATTACGAAATTTAAAATAATTCCGATAAATAATGTCACTAAAATCATGAAAATACCGAATATCGGGAGGTACAGTTATATGGAGGCTATACTTAACCTGCCTGCTGGTAAACGAGGCATGTGTGCAAAATTTTAGCCTTCTACCTCAATGCGTTCATCATGTTTTTCGAAAACTCCACCTTATCTCAAACCTATTACTGAACTCCCACTGATCGCTCAATAATAACGTCCTGCAACTGCCACTACAATCCTGTGCCTTTCAACTGTAAAGTAGGAATATTAAACAATTCCATATACCAAGAGTGACTCTCATGCTTAATTTGAAAGTCCTAGCTGTTACTCATTGCTTAATAACAATGTTTCACCATTTCGTAACTTTTAGCACTTTTCATTACCAAGAAGAATTTTTCCAAAAATCCAAGTTAAATACCAAATTTTAGAATTCTAGATCAGCCCACCTTTTTAGTACCCAAAACTTTTTTCTAAATAGAATTTGCAAAACGCGTTTACCCCGCAGAAAAAATTGATATTCCAAATTTCACTACAATATTTAGTACCAAATTTTAAAAACTTCACGTTATCTCATGTTCTGCATTGAAAGTACAGAACTTTGGCTTCAGAATCACATTTTAGTATACTTTGGAAATTTTATACCATTTAGTACTTAATGCTTTTTATATAGAGTACTTTTTTAATATAAATTTTCTCTCGCATGTTGCATTTTATGATATCTGCATACCAGAAGTGATTCCATGCAAATTTGAGTGTTTAGCCACATTGATTTTGATTTGGTTTTTTTTTTGCTGCAAAATGTACCATTTAATAAAAAAATATTTTATAAGTCAATGATAAATATCAAATTTTATAATTCTTGCTTTCTATCCTCAAATATTGACATTAAATCACTGTTTGTTGTTTTCAAAAATGTCATTACTAGACGGTGAGAATTTTTGAATTTAGAAATAGTTGTTTGCTAGTTATAACCATGTACAATAAAATCAAGGTAGGGCTCTGATACCAATCGATTTTATATTTTATTTTTTATTATGTCCTCCATCTTAAAAAGGAGGTTATATTAACTTTCCCTAAATATTCATCGTAGACCCCATAAAGTATATATTCATAATCAGCTTAAAATTCTAAGACGATTTAACGATGTCCGTCTGTCTGTTGAAATCACGATGCAGCCCACAATTTTTAACGAGAGCTCCAAAATTTGCCACAACAATTTGTTTTGTGTCTTGGTAAATGAGATACATTGGTCCACGTTTTCGTATAGCCCCCATATAACGGTACCTCCCCATATTCGGTATTTCGATGGGTTTAGCCATTTTTTACGGATTTGTCCAAAAATTGGCATTTGTAGTTCGTAATGGGTTCTAGCTCTGGTGGCAGAACATGTATAGGTCCACGTTTTCCTATGGCGCACATATAACGGTACCAACCGATATTCGTTATTTGATAATCCAAGTCACATTTACCCATGAAATTGTTTTGAATTTGGTATTTACGAAGACTTGGTAGATGACAATTTTTGACGTAATTGAAGTAACAATTTTAAAGTAAATTGTCTATATAGGTTCTCGTTTTCGTATAACACCCATATAACGGCCTCACCCACTTTGTGGTTTTATGAAAAAATAACAGAATTATCCAAAATTTACACTTTTGTGGCGTAGTAAATTCTTAGAGATACATAGAACATGATTTAATAAAAATTTTGACCTTTCATTCGATCTCTGCGTATTTTGTTTATTTCTTCAAAATAGGTGCAACAAGTTGTGTTATTTATTTGATACAAAACAACTTGTTGCATTTAATTAGATAGTAATTCTGACATTACAATCCATACAAGTAGGCCTCTTTACTGGCAACTTTTTCTAACTTAGCCTACCTTGTTTTTATTGCACCATGGTTATAACTAAATAACGATGCCGAACGTCACTGAACGCTTGTTATTTATTATTTTATATTATTATTTTTCCGTCAGCCAAATCAAAACATTACTTCCAGCACACTTAACGAAAAAAATCATTTAAAAATATTAATAACTATCTTATTTCATTTCAGACCCATACAACCACATTGGGTGAACAGGAAATTCAAAATGCTGTCGAAGCAGCGGCAGTTATTTTCAAGAAAGTGGTGCTTCAACGACGCCAAGAAAAGAAAGCAGCTGAAGAAGGTATGTACACTTCAATAGACCTTACTAAGCAGTTAATCGTATATATAATACTATCGTGAGGTTGTGGTACTTTTGTTCGTATATAACATCTTTGTGGTGTTGTGTGGCTTTCCATTTAATTTGACTAAAATTTTACTAATATTTTATAATATCAATATAATTAAATCAAATGACTTAGATAATTTGTATATGTAGTTGTTATATATATAAATTTGTATTCTCTGCGAACTGATAAAAATAGAGTAAATTAGAAGTTGGTTTATAACAATGGGCTTTAATAAATATGTTACAAAAATGTTGCATACCTTTAGGCGATATGGTATATTGTACAAATTATATTTGATGTTCAGTACGTTGTAAGCATGGAGCAATTTATTATTTTATGGGAAGGATTTTTAAAAGTTTATGCATTTAAAATTTTATATATGATATCTTTTAAATGTTAAATGTCAAATACCATTTCCAACAAATATATATTTAAATACGAAATATCTGGAGTTTCCTTTATATGAGGACTATACCAAAACAAGAATTTGTTTTGACAACTTTCTGTCGTATGAGATGATACCCATTACGAACTTTAAATATCACTATGGAAACAGTTCGGTTGGAAAATGGGGCTAAAATTATCAGAATACAGAATATCTGGAGGTACTGCTGGGAAAACATGGATCTTTATGGAAACTTATATGTACAAACAAATGTACGAAAACTCTTTGGGAATATTTAGTTGTATTTTATTCATTATACTGATGAATGGACTTTTGTACCAAATTCGAAATATTTTATCATCGAGAAAAAATCTTGTCAAAAAATTCCGAAGAAAGTTTATTTTCTCTGTTGTTACTTTATTGAATTCCCCAAAGTATAGAATATTTAAATTATCAAGCTTTTCATTTTTATGGCGGCCCCTTGTTTAATTTCTAAGTTTTAAGCTACCAGTTATCACAAAAGTGCAATACCAAACAATGTGCTATTTAATATTATAAATTGATGTAATTAGCTAAAATCCACTTTACGTGGTTGCCGCTGCTCTACTGCATTGTTTGCGATGCAAGAGCTTCAGACTTTTGGCACAATTTTTGAGAAGGATTATTTACATTATTAACTGAGATTATGAAGTCGATTGAATGTTCTGACAGCACATTTGTCGTTGTTGAGACAACGGTGCACAATCCCTTATGTCGACAAAACAATAACACATTTCTTAGATAACACATTCGACCATAACTAGGCGGGGTATGATAAACATCCATTAGCTTAAGAAGATTTCCTTTTGCTAATAATAAAACTGCTTAAGTCATACAACAAACTTATATTTGTGAAATCTATTATTAAAGAGAGTCATGCATATTTGCCAAAAATTTGTGACATTTATGCCATTGGGTTAAATGGTATTCGATATTATCACAATGCATTGTAACGTTCGATCTAATTAATTAGTCTTGAGAAAATTTACTCTTACCCAAAATGTGTAACTAGAGGCTAGGCAGTTAAAATATATTTTATAAAGTAGTTCATAAGCTCACTGCTTAAGGAAAAAAATTGTGTAAAATATAATTGTTGAGATTTTATTTTGAAATTCCCAAAGCATTCTAAATATCTACCTGAAAGATAATATTTTTTTGTTTTACTTCATTTTTATGAGACATAAATAACGGTTGTAACTTCTCATAGAAAATAGGAGTTTTTTAAACAACTGAAAAACAGCTGAGTTCAGCATCATTCCTCACATTCCGTAGTAAAAAATTCAGATTATACCTCTTATATGGTGGCTTTATGAAGACGTGCTCTTTCATAAGTATTTTTTTGTGATAGGCTGTAGTACCCACTACGAACTTCAATTACGAAATTTAAAACAATTCTGGCGAATAATACCGCTAAAATAATCAAAATACCGTTATACGGAATAATCAAAATACCTTTTATCGTTATACAGGAGCTATAAGAAGACGAAGACCTGCATACGCGATTTTTATACCCTCCACCATACTATGGAGGGTATATTCATTTTGTCATTCCGTTTGTAACTCAACGAAATAATGATCTTAGATCCAAAAAAGTACATATATTCTTGATCAGCGTAAAATTCTAAGACGATTTAGCCATGTCCGTCTGTGTGTCTGTCTGTCTGTTGTAATCTTTCGAACGAATTGAGATAAGAGGCTAACATTTTGCACACATGTTTATTTTACCAGTAGGCAGGTTAAATGGGACATGTAGATCCACGTTTTCATATAGCCCCCATATAACGGTACCTCCCGATATTCGGTATTTTGACGATTTTAGCGACATTATTCACCGTTGTAGTTTAAAATTACGTATTTAGAGTTCGTAATTGAAACTACAGCCTGTGACAGAAAATTGTGTATGCAGGTCCAGGTCTTCATATAGGCCCCATATATCAGTACTTCTTTATATTCGGTATTTTGACAATTGTAGGTACAATACTCAACGAAATTGTTTGAGATGTCGTCGCTACAGCCTGTGACGGAAAATTGTTTATGCAGATCCAGGTCTTCGTATAGCTCCTATATAACGGTACCTCCCTATGTACGATATTTTGATGATTTTAGCTACATTATGCACCGTTTATTTCATGTTTCGAATTTGAATATGGTAATGGCTTGTGACAAACAATGCCTATGTAGGTGCACGTCGTACAGACCCTAATATAACGGCTATATTCGGTATTTTTAAAATGTTAACAAAACTTTTGGCGAATGTTATCTTTTTCGAAAATGTTCAAATTCGTTCTAAATGGTGGAGGGTATTCAAAGTTCGGCCCGGCCGAACTTACTGCTTTTTATTTGTTTTGTTATAGGTTTTAGTACCCATTAAGAACAGACACACAGACAGACGGACATCGCTAAATCGACTTAGAATTTTACTCTGATAAAGAATATATATACAGAGTGCGATAAAAAAAACTGCAACAAAGTCCAACGCCATAATTTTTACATGTTATTTTTTAAATTTTATTGAATGAAAGCAAAACAAGTAAAATAGTATCAGTCGGTTTTGCCGACAGATGTATACCCTCAGCCTTGAGTTACGAACGTGACAGATTTGGACTATATCGACTACTTCTTGTACTTTATATGAGGTATGTGCACCTTTTCGGAAAATGGAAATATGCGTCAGGTAACAAATACAGCGGACCGAAGTATTCCATTTTCACACTTCATCTAATACAGATAAAATACATCATCCTAGTCTGAATAGAATCGGATGATAATTTTGCGTTTTATGAGCTTCATGGATACTCATAATTTTGACCTTTTGTGGGGGAGGTACCAGAAGTTGTGGACCGATATATCCCATCTTCACACCAGATCTTGAGTTAGTAGAAATAATGGGACGTGTGTAATATGAAAAAAAAAAAAATCGACCTTTTGTGGGGGAGGTACTTGATGGAGTGGGCCTATATTATCCATTTTTGCACCTGACCTAGAACTGACGTAAATATCAGGATTTGCAAAGTTGGAACAAAATCGGATTATCGATTCACTTTCTGTGCAGAAAATATTTTTATACCCTCAGCCATATGGCTACAGAGGGTCAAAACGTGCCTAGTCGAAATAACGGTTTTAGACCCTAGGTCTCTTTGGACCAAATCCGTTTCAGAACATTTGGAGTCGATCTAGCGATGTCCGTCCGTCCGTCTGTCTGTCTGGCTGGCTGGCTGGTGCGCACGATAACTCTCGAAGGGAGTATACGATTTGGTCCAAACTTGGTACATCGCAATATTTTTGTCAAACTTAGATCGAGTTCGGAGATGGACAATATCGGTCCACTCCTTATGGTACCTCCCACACAAAATGTCAAAATTTTCAAAGAAAATAATTTATTGCACAGAAAGAGAAAGGATAATCCGATTTTCCTCGAACTTTGCGAATCCTAATATTTTCATCAGTTCTAGTTCAGGTGCGAAAATGGACAATATCGGTCCACACCATCAGGGACCTCCCCCACAAAGGGTCAAAATTTTGAATAATTACAACTCTTATAAAATGTGATTTACGAGCCCGATAGTCTTCAAATTTCACACATCGCAATGATTTTATTATCACAAGGTTTGGTGCGCAAATGGAATGTATCGGTTCACTCCTTCTGGTACCTCCCCCACCCAAGGTCGAAATTTCAAAAAATATTTTTTGCACAGAAAGACAAACGATAATCCGATTTTGCTCGAACTTTGCAAGTGCTAGTATTTTCAAGGTGGGGAGTGCTAAGTAAGGTGGGAAAATGGACAATATCGGTCCACTCCATCAGGGACCTCCCCCACAAAGGGTCAAAATTTTGAATAATTATAACTTTTATAAAATGTGATGTAAGAGTCCGATAGTCTTCAAATTTCACATATCTCAATATTTTTATCAACCCAAGATCTAGTGTTAACATGGAATGTATCGGTCCACTCCTTCTGGTACCTCCCCCACAAAGTGTCGGAATTTTGAATACCCATGAAGCTCATAAAACGCCAAATTAAGATCCGATTCCATTTAGACTTGGCCCATCTCAATATTTCTATCAACACAAGATCTGTTATAAAGGTGGTATAGATCGAACCATTTCTTCTGGTACCTCCCCTATACATAGGGTTCAAGATTTTGAAAAACAAAACGCACCAATAAAGCTAAATAAGCAGCATTTTTGCTAATACAAAATCTGTTGTGAAGTTTATACAAAGGGTCACAATTTTCAATAATTTTATCTGTCACAACTTTCGAAACAATTTAGCAATTCTCTACTATTTGCTATGCTCAAATATTTCTCTCAATAAGAAGCCTGATATGAATATGAAATTTATCGGAATTTATTATTTCGCATAAAATTTGACATAAATAACTTTTCTTGTGTTTTGCCCCATATTTCGCTCAATATCAGATGAAGTATAAAAATGGAATATTTCGGTGGACTCTATATGGTACATCACGCACTTTTTAACATTTTCTAAAAATTATTACATATCTTATATAAAGTAAGGGGTGAGTCGA